GCAAAATGATGTAAAAATAAACTTTTTAATAAAAAAAAAAGAAGAAAAAAACTGGTTTAAATGAAGAATGATATAAAAAAAAGAATAAAGACAATTATTTTAATTACTTTACAAACAAATCTATCTCTATGTTCAATAATCATTTAGTGTTACTGAAGACTCTGTGGTCCTACAAATGACAAAAAGATAAACAAGATTCACTTACTAGCCACAAAAGATATATATAAGAGGACAGCAGCTAAGATAGTGTACATTAAACTAATATAGAATTGAGAACACAAGTATCCTAAGACTATTAAAGTGAGTGCTCTTGATGTTCAAGAGGAAAAGTTTGTTACCTCATCTCCCATCTGTGGAACAAATGGGGAACGTCGTGGTATGGTATCCAAGATCCACTGAGGGGCAAACCATTCTTCATTGGGTTCACCTGACATAGAAACCAGTCCTCCTTTCTAAAATACAGTGCACAAATGTATGAATCGTAAGTACAAGAATAGTAGCATGAAATATTACAGGTAGAGAATGTTAAAAAATAGCTAAAATAAACAAATTTTATATATTTTTCTTTGCCAATTATCAACGACTTTTATACTAAACAGTAAAGTGACTTCTTTAGCATCTTGTTCAATTTCTCTTAACATATAACAATGACACAATATACTAGATATACTATCTATAACCCACAAATTTATTTTTCATGTCCCTAGAATATCACATGAATTCAAATATAAACAATAACTTTGCCAACAAAATGGTAATAATCAAAATTATTCTGTCTACTATGTCAAGAGGCTAAAGAATGCACATACGCACAGAAGCAGCTCTTCCGTTTGCCTGTGAGTAGCCACGTGTTTCTTGTCACCAACCTCCCTTTGCAGAGCAGCAGCGGCAGCTCTCCTCCCTCGCTGCCCAACTGTGACTGTGCAGGCCTCTCTTTTAAGGGCGGCAGCTCTTTCTGCTCATTTGTGTTTGTGCAAGTGTTCTTTACTTTCCTTTCCCTATTATAACAAGCCTGTTCTTTTGGTTATAAAAAAAAATGCACACCCAACAGTATCTCAAGGTATTATTCGAAGAACTATGAGGATTAAGTCTCTAAATCACCTAAATTATAGTACAGAAAAATCACTGTTGGGATGAAAATGAAAACATCAATGGAAGAAAAGTCCCACATGACTTATACTTTTTCCATTTTACAAGTCAAAAATGTATAGAAATTTATGATTGGTGACATAAGAATAATACTTTTATGCTATAGTGGCTTATTATTTACAATTCTGCTACATTTTCACAATCAATTGCCACTATGTTTAAATATCATAATTAAAATAATGATTAATATATTCTGACCTCTATTTTTGATAACAAAATTTTCAAAAATTCTATACATTTTGAGATTTAATCAATTTCATTTACTTAGTTTCTAAGATGGAGTGCTATTTTTTGAGAAAAGTCAGACATTACTATAAAATATTCAATTATCAAAGGCAAAAACAAAAAGCCCAGTAAAAGCAAGCTGTAAAAATCACAAACCTTCTTTCTAGTTTGTTTAGGTTTCTTTTGCCTATCTTCTAACGTCTTCAAATTTTCCTCCTCAGAGCTGCTGCATATTTTCCGAGTTGCCTGTCTGGTTTGTCTTTTTGGAGGTTGCAAATTTATCCCAGCATCTGCTGTCCAGTCAGAATACTCACTGGAAGAATCACTAAATAAACAGGAATCATGAACACGCAAGTTTAGAATAAGAATAGTTTTTCCTCATAATTGAAAGCACATCATTTGAAATCAAGTAACAATATGACTAAAACAATTTGATTTCTTTATTACCTAAGAGAAATATATATCAATATATAATTTTGGTCATTACCTAAGTGATTTTAGGGAAATATTTCTTAGATGAGCATAATGCTTATTTTTTCATGACAGGATTTAAAATTCAAATTCACAACCCAAATTACAAAAAATTTTTTATAAATAAAGTTGTTCCATATCCCTACGAATGGCTATAGGGACTGATTTAAAACAGAAATAAATATATCCAGCCAAGAAGTAGAAATTTGGATTTACAGCAGATCTTATTTTATAGGTGAATTTCATAATGATATACCCAAAAAGATACAGGCAGAGTCAGGATAAAAAGAATAGGTTTCTGGTCAGCTACACTTTCTACTATAAAATACTATTTTAACTCAGCTTTTATCAAGTAACTCCACGAACAATTCCTCATATTAAACTAGACAGCAGTCCTTCTGCCCACTTGTGACTGTGCAGGTGCTTCTTTTGGCCAACTTTCTGTCCTCTGCTGGGCAGCAGTCTTTCTGCCTGTCCATGATCTGTTCCATGCCGAGGCTTCTTTTACCTGGGCTTCTTTTAACTCACTTTCCTCAGTAAAGGCAGCTCTCCTCCAGGCCCACTTGTGACCATGCAGGCCTCTGTCTTAGCAAACCTGTTCCTTTCAGGGCAGCCTTCTGCCTCTTTGTGTCTATGCAAGTGTCCTTTATTCTTCTCTCCCTTTAATAATAAATCTACCATTTTGGATATATAAATAAACTGTTAACTAAATTCTATGGAACAAAACCATCAAAAAATTACCTGGAAGAACTTTCACTTTGCCACTCAATAACAGGATCCTCTACAGAAGCATCACTTGTGCCAACTGTTTCATCTTCCTGCAACAAAGAGCCAGCAATTGAATGAGATCATTATTCAACTACCTATTTACAACACTTTTGTATATGTTAAAAGTATTATAATAAAAATGTATATAATCTTCTTTGTACACATCTCACAACTAAGTCTACCAAGTATTTAGAAATTTCTAGCATCTGCTACTTTATTGATACAAGGCATCACCTATCATTTCAATGACTGAACAGACTTCTTAAGACTTCGTGTGTTTATTTCTGGGTTCTCAATTCTATTCCACTACTCTGTGTGTCTGTTATTGTTGTATTACCAGGTTGTTTTGGTTATTATGACCTTATAATATAAACAGAGGTCTGGGAATGTGATAACTCCATTCTGTTTCTTTTCTTTATGAAAGCTGCTTTTGCTATTTAGGATTTTTTTTTTGATTCCATATAAATTTCAGTAACATTTCCTCCAGTTCTTTGAAAAACACTGCTAATATTTTTATGGGAATGGTACTGAATCTTTATATTGGTTTAGGTATGATGGCCATTTTGATGATGTTGATTATTTACTCATGAACTGGGAATATTTTCCCCATTTCTTTGTGTCTTCTATTTCTTTCAGCAATGGCTGATAGTTTTCTTTGTATCTATCTTCTACCTTCACTGGAAGGTTTACTCCTAGGTATTTAATTATTTTTGGTGTAAAATTATTTTTGGTGTAATCTCTTCTTAATCTATTATATTGTATATAGAAAGGCAACTGATTTTCTGGCTGGTTTTATACCTTTCCACTTTGCTAAACTGATTGTTTTCATTAGTTTTTCCATGGAATCTTGGGGGTTCTCAACTGCAAATAATGATAACTTTACTTCCTTTCCAAATTGGATTGTTTGTTTTTCTTTTGTCTAATTGCTCTTGCTAGAAACTTCCAATACTATTTTGACTAGCAATGACAAGTGTGCACTCTTGTCTTTTACCAGATCTTTGTGGAAAACCTTTCCCTTATCCACCATTAAGAATGATATTACCTGTGGATTTAGTTTAGATGACTTTTATTATGTTAAAGTATGGGTTGTTTAATCCCCAATTTTTTCATCATAAATGGATCTTGTGGCTTATCAAATACTTTCTCAGAATCAACTGATATGACCATATAGTTTTATCTTTCTTTTTCTTAATATGAGTTATGTGGGCTGATATTGGATGCTAAATCATTCTTGTATCCTTGGTTTGACTCCTACTTCATCTTGGTGTATGATCCTTTTAATGTATTGTGGGATTCAGTTTGTCAGGATTTTGTTAATGATTTTTGTGACTCCTTCAATAAGTAGTAATGGTAAAACTCGACAGCTACATGCAGAAGAAAGAAACTGGACCATTATCTCATACCATACACACACACAAAAAGAACCTCAAAATGGATGAAAAACTGGATATAAAAACTGAAACCATAAAGTACATAGAAAACAACATAGGCAAACCATTTCATAGCATACACTTTACTGATGCATTTAGAGATTCGTCCCCAACAGCAAGGAAAACAAAAGAGAACATAAACACTTGGGACTGCATTAAGCTTTTGGACAGGCAAAGAAACAAAAACGTAAACAAAAAGACACCTCATTGAATGAAAGGATGTATTTGTATACCATACATCTGACAAAAGACCGCTCTCAAAGATATACCAAAAACTCTTAAACCGCTACAAAGACAAAACAAATAACGAAGTCAAAAATACACAGAACTAAACGGACATTTCTCCAAAGACCTACAAACTGTAAAGAAGCATGTGAAAAAATGCTATAAATACCTAGTAGGGAGGTACAAATCAAGACAATGAGATCAAGACCACAATTTTCACACCTGTGAGAATGGTGCATATTGAAATGTCCAGAAACAACAAGCGATGAAGACATGGAGAAAAAGAACCCTCCTATACTGCTACCAGAAATGCAAACTGGTCCAGCACTTAGGGAACCAGTATGGAGGAGTCTCAAAACAAAACATTAAAATGGACCTGGCTTTTCACACAGTATTTCTACTGTTAGACATCTAGCTGAAAAAATTTAAAACCACTAATTTAGAAGGAAATTTAGGCTACTATATTTATTGCAGCACTATTTACTATAGCCAAATTATAGAAAAAACTGAACTGCCCCAAAAAAGCATGAGTGGATCAAGAAGATGTGGCATATAAACACAATAGAATATTACTCAACCATCAAAAGAGATAAACTCATGCCATTTGTGGCAACATGAAGGTGGAAGGGATGTTAAGTGAAAAAGTCAGAAGAAGAAAAATGCTCGATGGTTTCACTAATATGTGGATATAAAGCAACTAAACTAAGAGTCAGATAAAGACAAGCTTAAAAACTAATCCTTGATAGCTGACTACATAACCGAAGCAATGAGGATGGGGGTCTGTGGTGGAGTAGGGGTTGGTGGGGAAGAGATAAAAACAAAAACATAAGGAAACACAAAGGACTATGTGGTGGACTATCAGTGATTTCTTGGTGGTTTAATTATGGTGGTAAGACCCGATGGGAATATGCAAATATAATCTCAATTAACAATAAATAGGAACTTCTTAAACTTAAAAAACAAACCTTTCAAAAAAAGTACCTATATACCATCACCAAGTGAATACAATTACTATATGTACAATATTAATTGTGCTTATATAAAAATTTAAATACATAAAAGCAGAGGGAAAGGACATAACCTACATATACAATGTCCAGTTAAGAAAATAACTCACTGTTTATCTTATATTATCTGTACCCTCGGAAGTGCCTCATTTCTACTGATTATTGTGAAGTAAATTTTGACCTAAAAAATCTCTTTTAACTATAAGCATTTATTTGAATTAGAATTAATTTCAAAATTATTTTTATTTTAATTTTGAGGATATAATTTTGCTCTTCCATATGCGCATATTCCATTTATTCTCCACCAAACTATTCACTGTCCACCAAAATTCTTTCCACTCCTTTCCCTAACCACTCCTAATCCCTCCCCCCAACCATGTTTCCTCTGTTAACCATTAAATTCTTTACTGCATCCACTATATTATGCCTGTGCATGCTCTTTTGATTATTTATATTCTACAGAGGAGTGAAATTCTTTTACTTTCTAGCTTTCACTTAATATAATCACCTCAAGATTCATCCAGTTTGTATCCAAATTTACTATATTTCATTTTTTGCACAGCTGTATAGTAGATAGTCCACACTTTCTTTATCCACTTCTCTGCTGAAGGGCACTAAGTTGGCTCCATGACTTGGAACTGTGGACAGTGCAGACTATGTGGTCATAAATTATTTTTTATTAATTTTCTTTTTTTTTTTGAGGTGAAACAATAATTTATTGAGAGCCCCTCCAGGCCTTCAGTCTCTAAGACATCTTTTCTGCTTAAAGACCTTGTGCATGAATCCCAGGAATATGGATGGGGGCAGGGATGCAGCATACTCATATCACAGGAACATAGCTGGCAGATTCAGCTCCTCACATAGTTATCTTCACCCAGGCTACCTTTTTTGCATCCTGCCCATAAGTCTGTAGGATCTGACACTGTTCTGGAGAGGCTCACTGCAGACACTGAATCACCAGCCAGCTGCATTTGCTGTTCTGGATGTCAATACCAATCTAATCAGTCACACTGCAGTCCACAAAGAGGTCCAGGTAATCATCCTGGATCTGAAAGAACTCTCCCATCTCCAGCAGCAGACAGTTATCACTGTTATTCAACATAGTATTGGAAGTCCTAGATGAAGCAATGTAGAAGGCACTGAAGTAAGCTAGTCTCTAGAAGGCTATTCTTCTGGTTATTTCCCTTGTGATAAAAGAAAAATCAGCACTCAGCAATCTCTATGACTGATGAAATCATCAATTACAATGTGCAAGTTCTGACAATTACAGTCAACTAGCTATGTGACTGTGCAGTTACACTGCTTATATTCTATTTCTTTCTACTATCCTTTTCTCACTATTCCAAAACGAAAACCTTTCCTGGTATGTTTTATATCCACAACCAAGATAATACTTTAGATATAAATCAAGACAATAGCTAAAGGAATTCAATATAATCCCTAAACTTGCCTATCAAACGCCTTACTAAATAATAAAATAATAATAAAAAAGAATAATAAAATTCTTAAAGAAAATCATTAAAATAATTTTCTAATAGAGAAGTAACCCTTAAAGGTAAGTCTAAATTTATACTAGTTGGGAAACAAAAGAATTACAGTGAGCAAATAACAGAGGGTGTCTAACCTCTGAGGAGCTGTCTAAGTCTTCCTGTACACCTGAATTTTGACTTGATGTTTGTGAATTATGTTCTATGTTAGACCGTGTTTGGTAAGTGTGCTGGCGCTTTCGCTGTGTCCTTCGTAAAGATCGCCCACAGCTAGGTTGATAATCATTCTATGGAAGAGAAGGAAAATGGATTTTAAAAAATGAAAGGTTCAGTGAATATACACAAAGGAATATATACAAAGCAAATCAATTGCAGTGGATGGAAACAGTAAAGGATAAGAATAAACCCAAAAGAATAATAACCAACCAAAACATAACTTTATTTATATATACTTAATCCACCTTCTACTAATATTCATTATTCATCTGTTGAAGATGTGATCACATTAATGGCAGTGTTGAAAATATGAATTGCAAGAATTTGCTCACCCAGAATGTACATACACTACATTATTAACAACTTATCATAGGATGAAGCATGCTTATCTACAACATTATTTATCTATATAAAATTCTTAATATGTACTTTAGTTTTATGAAGTTATATTTAACAGGTCAAAATTAAGACTTAATTTTTAACATCTAAAATTTAAAGTGAAAGCTATTTTATTCTACTCTCCAAGTCCTTTACAAGCACCAGATTCTCTTATGTAAAACATTTACCTGTCAATATAAATAAAAATGTTTACTGATTGTTTACTGATTCAACTACCCTTTTTATTTATCTCAGATAAGTCTGCTATTTAATATATGAGCTTAATAGAAGGAATATAAATAGTGAATCTGCGTCATTCAAAATCAGAGAATATCATATCAACTAACAAAACAACAGAAATTAAGAAAACAAGCACGAAAGTGATCTAAAAATATATGAGGTACTCAAGATAATTACCTAAACCTGTGTTTATCCATACTGAATAAAAATTTAAAATACAGGGTACAATGGCTAGACTTTTTAAATAAAATTAAATCAGTCTATAAAGTTATCATATTCTTTAGCAGTTGTGATTACTGGAATGGAGACACACTCATATGTTGTCTTTAGCTTCTTTTAAACTATACAGAGTTCAGTAGTTATGATAGATGTCATATGATATGCATCTGGAAACAAAAACTATAAATTCCTTTTCTTTAAAGATTTATTTGTGCATACAGAACTGGGGTCCAGTCCAGAGGTGTAGGGGTGGTAAGAGGATTCACCAGAGAGAGAGTGGGAAGAACAGGCAGATCTACTGAAATATACTGCGGAGGGCGCCTGGGGAGGGTCAGGAGAGGTTTGGTGTGTCATATGGGTCACTTCCGTAGTGGGGGATTGAACTCGTGCTGAAGCAGCTGCAGCTAGCTTTCTAGTGCTGCATTTTAACTTGTTGTGCCACCAGGTAGGGCCCCAAAACTAAACATTCTTATGCTACTACTTTGTTCAATCTCACAGTACCAGTAAGGAGTTTACAATGTACCTAGTAGAAATAGGAATCTTACTGCCTGATCAGCAATTTCTATTGGAAATATGAACCTTCTCAGTGCATAGATAAGATTTTGTTACTATATTATTAAGCAGGATAGAAGTAGGACTAAGTCAGGGATCAGAAAACATTTTTCTGTAATGGGTTGGAGGGCAAATATATTTAGCTTTGCATGTCATATGACATCTGTTGTAACTACTCAACTCTATATAGTTTAAAAGAAGCTAGAGACAACATATAAACGAGTAAGTGTGTCTCCATTCCAGTAAAACTATTAACAAGAATTGGTACCAGACTAGATTTAGCCCATGAGAAGTAGCCATGGGCCACATGAGTTATTCGCCAACCTTTGGCCTAGATATGTGAACATCTTTTTACACAGCAGTTAGTGATAAAGCAATAATTTTAAATTTTACTTTTAAAATATAAAAATGGTATTTAGATATAAATATACTATACCTACAGTGATCACATCTTAGATTTTTGAGGGGCATCCCTGGCTGTACATAATTTGAACTTTATTTTTAACAAATATATACCTCAATTTGATGTTCAAAAAGTAGGTTTCTTATGTGCAGATACCTTTTAAAGTAGACCCTTAATATAAGGTACTACCCTTTAAATATCTAGTACCTATAAATATTTGCAAAAAGTGTATCCCAAAGTACTGTAAAACTCAACTTACCCTTTGAGAAGTATAAGATGGCTTTTTTTTCTTTTCAACTGTATAAAGACAGATTTCTATGTCACCTTTTGCAGCTCGACATTCTTCCTGCACCCTAAGAACAGAAAATCATCAAAAAAACAAACTTATAACTTAAAATTCAGATAACCAGATAATTTTAGATATAAATTTTGCCATTTTAACTACTTCTAGGTATACAATTTGGTGATATTAATTACAATGTTAGGCAAACATTACCGCTATTTCCAAAATGTTTTCAACTCCACAAACTTTGTAACCATTATGCAACAGTTCCCTATTTCTTCTACACCCTGCCTCTGCTAACCTCTAACCTAGTTTATGCTTGTATAGTTTGCCTATTCTAGAAATTTCAGGCAATTTCATGCAATGGAATCAAATATTATTGTCCTTTTGTGTCTGGCTTATTTCACTTAGCATAATGTTGCAAAAGCTTTCAACACTTCATTATATTTTTGTGGCTGAATCATATTCTTACTTGATGTGTAGATCACATTTTGTGTATCCAATTACCTGTCGACATAAACTCGAATTGTTTCTACCATTGGGCTATTGTTATTGACATGGTATTTTACTTTACTTTGCTAACAATGGTCGTTTTAAAGTTCTGAACAGATTTATTACAAATTGCTCTTCAACCAGAGGTTAGCATTCAAATTCATAAGTTAGCTCTATTTTCTTTTTTCTTACTTTTGCAAAAAAAAAAGAAGAAGAAGAAGAAGGAAAGGAAAACAATTTTGCTACTTGTTGGTTGATCTGGTAAAAGACTAGCTTAGGAAGGTAACATGAGTAAAATGGATTTTACATGTTTTTTGACAATGTCCATTTTCTTTACCAAATCTATTTCCAGTTGATGTAGATTATCAGGATCCAATATTCAATATTACAGTGTATTATCGAATAATACTGAGTATTACAAATAAGAGCAGGGATTCTAAATTTGAATTTACACTAATGAAAATCGTTCATCCACGGAAATATGCTTAAATGACATTCTTAAATATAGCCCCCAAGCATGTGATTCTTCTAAATATCTGTATTGCACTCCAAAACTGCTCCAATGTCAAGTTGATGGCTTTTTCCTCAGAATCACTGGTGATTTTCAGAACTATAGTCAACTATATTATCAATCAACCTCACAGGGTCTTATAGTCTTACTCAATAATATTTGTATTCATACTCTTTTTTTTTTTAAGATTTATTTATTGTGCATACAGAACTGGGGCACAGGCCAGAGGCGGTGAGAGGCTTCACCAGAGACAGAGTGGGGAACAGAACAGGCAGATCGACGAAGTACATTGCTGAGGGGAGCAGCAGGTGGGTCAGGAGAGGTCTGCCGCACCATGTGGTCACCTCCGGGGCAGGTGGGAATCGAACTCATGCGGAAGCAGCTTTAGATTCTCAGTGCTGTGCTTCAACCCACTGCGCCACCAGGGAGGGCCTGTATTCATACTCTTAACCTAGACTATAAACATGAGGACAGAAATTATGTTTTTCAATTTTTCTTGTGTCCCAAGCCATTTAGAACAAAGCTAAACAAACTGAAGATAAATGAATCAGATTAAAAAATATTTCGGCTTTATACTAGTACAATACATTTTATGTATTAAAAAACAAGGCTCTTGGGTCCTCCCTGGTGGTGCAGCAGGCTAAAGCACAGCACAAAGAAGCTTAAGCCACTTCCGCATGAGTTCGATCCCCACCTGCCCCGGAGGTGACCACATGGTGCGGCAGACCTCTCCTGACCCGCCCACTGCTCCCCTCAGCAGTGTACTTCATCGATCTGCCTGTTCTGTACCACACTTTGTCTCTGGTGAATCCTCTCACCCTCCGCATCTCTGGCCTGTACCCCAGTTCTGTACGAATAAATAAATAATTCTTTAAAAAAAAAAAAACAAGGCTCTTAACTCTCTTACAAATGTTACCTTAATGACTCACCTACTAACCCCATTATTTAGTTCATTGACCACCACTCTTCTGCTCCAAGCCATGAGATCTCGTTCAGTAGCCATCTGGCTCCGAGGAGCATTGTTATGCATTTGTCGGACACCTTCAATTTGACCACTACGTCGGAGCCCAATATTTGGAGAAGATATGTTCATATTTGGACTTCTCAGAGCTAAACCCAAAATAAGAAAGGTACAACTCTGAACAAAGGCACCAAACTTTTCTAGATCAGAGGTCTAAATAAACAGAAGATTAATTCAAAAGGACACCTGTACCCCTCTGTTTATTGCAGCGTAATTTATAATAGGTAAGCTATGGAAGCAACCCAGATGCTCTAAAATAGATGACTGGATCAAGTAGATGTATATTTATACAATGGAATGTTACTCAGTAGTCAAAAGGATAAACACATGCCCTTTGCAGCAACATGGATGGAGCTGGATGGGATTATGTTCAGTGAAATAAGCAAGAAAGAAAGGGAAAAAAAAATTGAATGGCCTCACTTACAGGAAGAATGTAGAGAAAACAAAAAAGGAACTATAATAAAGTAAAAATCAAAATCATCAGGCATAGGAGGAGAAGAACTAGGACAGGAGTGGGAAGATCACAGGGACTAATGTGATGGTGCACAGGTGAATTTGTGGTGGGAATTTCATGGGGAAAGCATACACTGTACACAAATGAAGGATGACATAATAAATATATTTAAATTCATTTTTAAGATTGGTAACCAATTAAAGGGTGAAAGAAGTGACAGCACATTTAAGTTTTCATTAATTAAACTCCTAACTTCTGACTGCAAAACTGAGGCAATCAGAAGGGGAAGGTGGTTAGTGGGAGTGGGAGGGGGAAGGCACCCAATGGAACATCAGTGAAGGATTATTGGGGTACTGATGGTAGGCAGGGATAAGTATATATTTGCAGAGCTTTAAACTTATAACCCCAAGAGCAGTTACAAAGCTATCACTCTAGTTTACCTAAATAAACATAATTTGAAAAAAATAAAATTTGTCAGTTGATGGAATGCGAATAAAAACATAACCTAAAATGTAATTACATAGTACAAATGAATGAAGTATATTTATCATACCTTTCTATATACATACTTACCACCATTAGCAGAGTATGATCTATTAATTGGAAAATGTGGAACATCTCCTTCATTAATTAGTCTCAGATCTTGTTCTCTCTGTAGTTCCCTTATTATTCCATCAAGAATGCTCTCATCTTGGTCATTGGTTTGTTGCCCAATTACCTGTTCTACGACTTCACCATCACCTTAATGAGACCAAAGATAATGAAACTAAAACATTACTTATATTTCAAAATATCCTACATACAGTAAAATCAAGATTAACTCATAAATTTCTAGGCAAATATCAAAAAGCAAGTTGGAAATGAAAATAAGGTACACATCAAACAAAATATATCTAAACAACTTTAATTTTCTGATATGTAAGCTTATGTGTTTGACAAAATAATGTCCCTAAATTAGATATTACCATGAGGGCTTTACACTTTAAAGAACAGTTACTAAATTATTTTTTATTTATTAAATAAAAATAAATTTTCTCCATGGAGTGTTCCAAGTTAAAAGTGAGGAATAGAGATTTGAGTAAGGTTTAAACCATTTCCACTATTGATATCTAAAATATTTTACAGATATGAACATATGATTCACCAAAGGGGATCTCCAGAAGGCCAAAAGGTACATGAAAAGACATTCACTGTTCTTCTAATAAGAGAAGCAGATTAAATCCATCTCACACATGTCATAATGGCACATAATGGCAGCATTGAAGAAGAGGTAAAGAAGATGCTGGTATGAATGCAAACTGATGCCACCACTGATGGAAAAAGTTGAGAAATGGATATAGGCAGCCAGTTAGGAACAAGGTGCCCCAAATTCCCTAGCCCACTTATCAGCCTGACTGAGAAACACTTGGTTAGAACCAGAAGGGTACACTCCCTCAATCCCTCAAACCCTAGGTCCTTTCATCAATCTGACTGGAGAACAATTCTAGAATAGAAGGGTGCCCCCTCACCAACCAAGTATAAAAAGTCATATTCAGAGCTCCAACACAATAGCAATGACTCTAAGCTGGTTTTGGAAAAGTAGGCTGAGTAATATGGTAAAACTCAGTAGCCTCAGTAGCATACAAGACCCCAGTGGACCCATCCTATCAACAAGAGGAACAATGAGGAGCCACTCAGTAGCCAAACCCCCACTCTTTGCCCACTGTACCTATACATGCTCCTAATTCTTGTCACCTTGGTGGCAAGCTCTTCACTCAGAGAGCTTTCCTATCCTTCTTATCAATAAATCTCTTGCTTTTCTGTAACTTTGGTCCTGACGTTGAATACTTTCCTTTTCTAAGGCAAGAACCAAGAAAGAGCCTGCCCAGGGTCCTCAGACTCTAGACCTGCTCCCCAAAATCCCAATTTATCATTGTGCAAAGCAATATGGATTCACCTTAAACTAAAAACAGTAATACCATATGATCCAGCAATCCCATTCTTGGGCATATATCCAAAGACGATGAAGCCATCAACACAAAGCCAACAGCCCCTATGCTCCACAATGTTCATAGCACCATTGTTTACAACAGTGACAACATGGAAGCAGCCTCAATGTCCATTAATGGATGACTAGATCAAGAAGACGTGTTATAACCACACCATAGAGTTTATACAGTCATAAGAAAGAAATGTACTCATTTTCAAGAAAAATAGAGGGAATTTGAGAAAATTATGAGTGGTAAACTAAGTCAGAATAAAAAAACAAATACTAGACATTTATATACCTGAAATTCAGTAACATAAAATACTTAAAAAAAAATAAATATCCTGAGGGCTCTGAGATTAAGAGGGTGGGGGGACAAAATGGGACAGACAAAAGGGACAATGGTGGGGAAAAAATTATAAGGTTTAAAATAATAAAAGCCTAATGAAAATTTGTATCAGGATTTACTTCCTGACTTTAAAATTTATTATTTGCTAAACTTATGCCAAAGAAGTTGTAGAAACTCCCATCTTTTGAGTTATTAAGACTCCAAGAACAATATATTAAAAAACACTCTAGAGAGACAACCTCCAAAAAAAAAAAAAGTTTGTATGTTTCTTTTATGAGAATTTCCTTTCTGGGCTTACCTGGTGGGTTAAAGTGCAGCACTATGAAGCCATCTGCAGCCTGAGGTGATCCACATAGTGTGGCAGACCTCTTCTGACCCACCCCAGCAGTATATTTCAATCAATCTACCTGTTCTGCTCCCCACTCTGTCTCTGGTGAATCCTCTCATTCCACCCCCCCAATACACCTCTGGCCTGTACCCCAGCTTTTGTATGTGTAATAATTTTTTTTAAAAGAATTCCCTCTGAAAGATATCAAAATTTTTTTAATATAACCTTTTGATAGCACCTTAGTATGTTGGTAAATAGAAAAATAGTTCTTATACACTAAAATTCAACAACTATGTCTGAATAAAATTTTTATTTTTATGATGTTTTTCTTTCTTAAATTCATTGTACACCTGTTTTTAATTTTCACCACTAGTCAGACTAAATGTTACCTTATAGAGAAACCAAGTGATCAGGTTTTATAGGAAATAAACTGAAATAACATATTTTATTCCTATATTTTTAGTCTTACCTCCTATTTACGATTCACATTTCTACCCTTGTTTAATAAATATGACTTCATCAGAATAACTACTAGCACATGTAACACCATTTCAATGCCCTATGAATTACACCCTTTTTATGAAAGAAAACATAAAAGGATGTACAATACATTTCACATTAGAAAGGCTAATTCAAATCCTAATTAATTCCACTTGTAACTCAATAATTCGTGGAAGAAAACCTACAAATAGCAAACCTAAATAAAATAGCTTTCTGATGTAGAAGGTAGGGAGAAAGAAACAGTACACCTAAGGCAAATAAGCAGAAGAGTTGCTTTGCTGGAGAACAGCTTAATTCAATGCCTTATTCTTCTATTCTTCCAAAGCACCCATCATTATATGCTCAATCTCTTCCAATATTAACTATTATTTAAGCACTCACATCTCCCTCCCAACACACAGTAACTCTTTTCATTTCAAATATGATGATAGGTAGCCACTTCCCAATTTATGGTGTTTGAAATTTTCTTTTCTTGGGTCCACTAACTATGGGCTCTGAAATTAAAATACCACTGTTATGAGCAATAGAATAGTACCAATTATAAAAGCTTGACACATTAAAGTTAGCACATTTAACCACTGCTAGAAGTCAACACTATAAACAGTAGGATCATACATATGTTTAGGGTTTCTAAGGAAGCAGGTCAACACATTCTCTGCTTGAGCATATGCCAATTTGTTCTAATTCATTTATTTGTGTGCAGGTGAGATAAACAATGTAAAAGCAATCCAGTAAAGTAAAAAGAATGATGCAACTAAAAATTAATGGGAGTATTATGTAAAATAAAGTATAACCTATTACAGAGTTTAGCACAGGGCATAGGCCATGGAGAGCATAGCAGTACATATAATATTTTTATAAAATGTTTTTATTCTTGAAATAACATACCATTAGCCACATATCCCAGCTGTGGTATAAGTTGTTCATCTTTACAATTTTCCCGTCCTGGCACTAGCCTTTGGAATTTTGTGGGATGAGGATTTCCATCAACATCCACTAAGAATGGGGGAGGCATGAGGTGAGGAGCTTGTTGAGTTTGTTCATCCAATACATAGTTGTTGGCATCACGGATAAGAGGTCGATAATCCGTGTGGAAGAACATCTGATCTGGAATCTTTATGAAAGATTTTAGTACGTAACATACACAGGGAATTTGTACACAGACACTTATTTTCACTTTGAGAACACATGCATTTTTCAAATCAGACAATTTTTACTTTTTCTTTTTAAAGTTCTCTACTGGAAATGTTCTCTTGAGGTAGAAGTGAATCACGTAGGTGGTAGTCCTCTTTTCTTCAAAAAATCCTACAATCTGTATTAGTTTCCGAGCTTATATTATCTTCATTCAATTAAGATAAAGACAAATAAAGCAACAAATACAGTAAAGTTGTTTTCCATTAAACAGTCATATTCTTTATATAGATTTTATAATATAATAAAACAGTGAAAACATTTAAATGTTTAAAAAAACAAAAATCAAAACAATTTTCCACAGAGAAAACCTGTATGGCTCTAAACATGGAACTTTTACTTACTATTTATTACTACTGTATTTTCTTCATGTTATTTTAAATAAGAAATATACTGTAGGGGCTGCCGGTGGTGAAAGGGGTTAAAACACAGCACTATGAAACTAGCCACAGCCACTGCAGCACAAGTCCAATCCCTGGCCAGGGAGATGACCCACATGGCACAGCAGACCTCTCCTGACCCTCCCACTGTTCCTCTCAGCAGTGTATTTCAGTAGATTTGCCTGTTTTGTTTTTCACTCTGTCTCTGGTAAATCCTCTTACCCCCTTGTACCTCTGGTCTGTACCCCCAGGTTCTTGTATGCATAAATGAATGAATCTTAAAAAAAACAAAAACAAAAAAAAAAAAAACACTGCAACTGGGTAATATTTATTCTTGGAAATCCCTATCAAAGTTCCCTAAGGTTAAGTATCTCTACTTAAGTTGCAAAATGCATACAAGTCTTTATGACTATTTTTCTTGTTATTTTTTATTCAAACAAAGATAAATGGAGTATAATATAAATGGAAAGGCTGGCACCAATTTCATCAAAACTTTCAAAGGTGATACAAGTATTGAGCTGATCTCAACAATTATTAGATATCTTCCAACTCCAACATCTTATAACATATTCCAAATTCACAGCTAATAAGATACAAGGAACTAATTGAGTTACCATCCAAAGTATCTTAACCAGATCAATATTAGGTAAAATAGCCAAGCAAGAAAATAAACATCCAGTCATCAGCTATTAATTCCCAATCTAGGACAACTACAGAATGCAATCTGGTAGTTCTCTTATACTGAAAGGTAGTATACAGAGTATGTTCAAAGCAATGATGAAAAAATTTAACAAGAAAGGTGACTATTAGTTTTATTTATTAACATGCAGCAATCCTTATTGACTGGAAGACTTCAAATCTTATGAATGATACAATCCAAAATTGCTGCTTGCCACAAAAATTAAACATACTAACCTTTTCGTAATATTTACTGCATCCAAAGCCAAAGAGCAGTAAATGTCCATGAGAATCTGTACAGGCAAAATGGTTTCCATCTGGTGAAAACTTACAGTCAAACACTGCACCATGACCTTGGCCTTCAATCTGAAATTTAGAAGTATCACTTTAAGTCACTTAGGAGGTTATTTTCAAATAATAATTAGGTAATAATGTCTCTTTGCTAATGTCATGGATTTTGTGAACATCAACATTCCAATGTACCCTCTGGTTTCTGTCCCCAGAACCCCACTGAAACAATAAAACCCTGAAAGAAATTATGGTGAATCAAAATGCAAAGGATGACATCAACTATTTTTAGCATTGTCATATCTCAAGAAATACTAAGTGAGTAAACGAAAATAATACTAAAATATTACTAAATACAACAAACCTGACAAAGGTGCTAGCTAAACAAAGTCAAAGTCAATATATTTATTATCTTCACAACTTAAGTTGTAGTGCATTTAAACCTTAAAATTAAAGCACACAAATAGGTTTTACTATTAAAACCAAAGATATTATTATTGTTCTAGGTATCTGTAAAACGTTTATAAGAGACAATCAAAGGCAAATAATTCAGATTTAGTCAAAACTATTTTTCAGAGAAGGGCACTGAAAATGCAAGATTTGCATATCCTATCACCATAGGAAGGGGCTCTCCTGGGAGAAGAGATAGCCCACCAGATTTTTCAAAGATTTGTAAGAAATATACCCGACTAACTCTACCTTCATCTCATGTTCACAAAACAACTCCCTAATAATAAATCAAACAAGCTTATCACAGGAAGGTATAACATAACCACTGTGGTGATTCATAAATTAGTATTAGAATTTAATATGAAACTTTGTGCTTTTCATCAATGTTACTTCCAAAAGATTATTAAATTTGAGTTTCAAGAGTTTAGAACTGGGATCCAGAATTTGGAAAATGCTAATAGCACTTCTGCTAACGGCATAATTTTGACTGCCCTTACTCAGATCATGAGGCCTTTTTCTGCATTATTTTAAGGAATAAAGCACAGACAACAAGAAGTCCCTTGGCACTAACTATACTTTAAACTACCAAGCCATCAAAAAAGAAAAGTCAGCTTTAATATGAACTAAACACAGCTTTTCCTTACCATATTAAAATAATTCCGAATTTTGGTCCCCCGGTCAAGGTCCCAAATAAAAATGTTCCCATCATGACCTGCTGAAAGTATGATCCTTTGATCAAATGGGTGTGCTTCTAAAACAAATACTTCATCATCGTGTCCCTGTGATAAAAATTCAATGTTAAAAATGAGAAACACTGAATATCTGATTTATTTGGCCCAGTCTTGGGAGTGTGTTATCTTTCTGGCACAGATGAATTCATATACACCAATATAACAGCATTTACTTCATGGGCACTACAAAAAAACAACAACAACAACAACCACCAACTAACCAGTTAGAGTCTGAATATGCTTAAGTGCTGATTTCATAAAGTATTCAACAAGTACAAGGCCCAAAAAGGTGTTGAAAATAAATATAGTTTAATACAGTTACACCTCATTAATCAGGTCCCTGAGGTAGAACTTGTATTTCTAGAATTCTACTGTTTAAAAGGCCACAGAAAAGGTGATAAATAGAATCTTTCATTAACAAGCAATTCTGCCATAGACAAGCATTCTGCCACAGAACAATCATTGCTCTTCATACAGCACACTAAAACACTATTCAGGTTATATACTGGGAGATGCAATAATACATTCAGAGGACAAAATACCGTGACTCTGTTCTTTCATCTACCTTATATTTAAAGGCTTCATTTTATATGCTATCTGAAAAACAAGTGTGCCACTAAAAAAAAATAAATCTGAAAACCTATGCTCTGGCATATATTTCCCTCCCAATAAGTCAAAGAATATCAGTTTAGAGATATTTTAGAGATCAGGAGTCTATAAAACATGGCCTGAAGGCCAAATATGGCTCCCACTCATTTTTGTACACAAAGCCTATGAACTAAGAATATTTTTTACAATTTTAAAATGTTGTTTAAAAAATGCCGTATGTAGATGATAAAGCTTAAAATATGTACTATCAGATCCTGTTAAAGAAAAAAGTTGCTGACTCTTGATTTAGATCATCATTGCATTTCCTTAACTCCTGATTGGAGAATACATAATTAACAATAGGCTCCAAGTTGCATACATCAGGAACATCCAGAAATAATCATATCTTATGAAACTAGAAAGTACATTTTATCCTAAATCAAGGCATAAAAAATTAATAATCCCTACCATGTTAACATTATGGGCAAATAAAATGGCTTATTAAATAAAAAATAACTGCAGACTTACTGAAAACATAAAGCACTATGATGATGAGTAGGCAAACACCATTATAATTAATAACCCTTACAATTTGAACTTTACCAAAACCCCCTTCCCAATAATTACTAAAAAAGTTCTTTGTTATAACAAAATCTCTTGCTGAAAAACCAATTTTATATACTAAAAACTTTCCCAGATTCTTAAACTATAAACAATAAAATTACTTTGTTAAACTCAAAGGATTAATGGTACAAATCCTTCAAGTGTATATTGGGAAAAAGAGGTTTTTAAATAGGGGATTTTGTTTCTGGTTAATAAGCCTTAGAATAGGACCTGGTCACTGGATAATGGGGAATAAAACTTGATCAAATTCAGTACAATGTTGAAGTTTGTCATCTGTCCCATTTTCATCTATTTAATATATCTATTTCTACCACCACATCAATCCAAATCATACAACAGATTCCCCAGGATACCCATAAACACTCATTCCCATTTCAATCTATATTCCCTATTTTGTCACATTAATTACAAGGTATGAAATAACAGAAAATATTTATTAATATCAGCTCCCAGTTCCTGACACAGCTTCTTGACAACTCTGTAATTTCCTGGATGATAGGTAAACTAGGCGCATCTTCTGTTTTAATATTTGGTCTTTGACCTTAGTTTCTAACAAAGGGCTACTGAAACTCTTAAATTTCCTGTGTCTTTTACTCTAATAAGAAATACTGAATGGGCTCCTAGATGAAGGATAATTACTGGAAAAATTAAGGTAGGGATTTTTATATCCCCTTCACCAATTCTCTTGAGAAGGGAGATAGGCTGAAACTTTAGCTTATGCCTACATGATAAAAGCTTCATACTTTTGGTGAGTTTGGAGGTTAGTGGAAATGGTAGGAAGCTCCATGAATCTTGCCTGAATCATCCCATCCATCAGGAAGTTCATCTGTATCTTTTCTCATATACCTTTGTAATAAACCAGTAAATAATAAATGTTTCCCTGAGTTCTGTGAAATCATCCTACCAAATTAATTGAACCCAAGAAAGGGTATCATTGAAACCTCTGGTTGGCCAGAAACTCAGGAATAACCTAGACTTGTGAATGTTATCTTAAGTATGAGTGTGTTTAGTGGGCGAGGGGGGTGTAGGGAGCAGTGACAATCTTACAGAAATCTAATGCTATCTCCAGGTAGATGGCCTCAAATTGAAGTTAAAATGTTAAGACATCCAGTTAGTTTTGTAGAGAATTCCTTAGTGTGGAGAAAAAACTCTACACATTTGATGGCCAAAAGTGAAAGAAGTACTCTATATGAAAGCCAGGAGGAAACACGGGGAAAGAACAAATAATAGGTGGGAATCGGTTCTTTCCATAACTAGGATGAGAACTATGAATTTTTTCAATTTATAAGGTATTTACCAAAAAGCAAAACTCACATGTCATTCCTTTGCTTTTAAGACAATTAATGGTTTCCTCTTGGTCAACAACACTTGGAGTGGTTTAACTCATGTTTATTTCTCCAGCTAAATCTGGTATCATTGTTTCTGTTTTCTGTAATAGTTGTGTTCAACTCCTTTCTACTTAAGAACTATGTATATGCTTTTCCCTCTTCTTGTAAGGTCTCCTTAACTCCCCACATATAAAATTTATCATATATTTATTTGACACTCAATTAGGCTGACAGAAAATAAGCAAAACAGGTAATTACATCTGTGATGAAATATCATCTCCCTAGCAAAATCTTTAGTCTTTTCTACATTCATCATCATGTCAACAACTGACTAGACAGAAAATCAATATACAAAAATCTGTCTTATTTCTATACATTAAGAACAAGCTTGCAGAAACAGAAATTAAGGAAATAATCTCATTTTTAATCTCAGCAAGAAGAAAAAAATACCTGGACATAAACAATGCAAAGAGGTGGAATATATATACACCAGAAACTCTAAGACACTGTTAAATGACATATAAGATACAAATAAATGAAAAGATATTCTGTGATCATGGATTAGCAGAATTAACACCATTGAAACGGCCATCCACTAAAGTAATATACAGATTCAATGCAATCCTTACTAAAGTTTCAGTAACATTTTTCAAAGAAATATATAACAAAAACTAAAATTTTTATGGAACCACAAGACTCCAAATAGTCAAAGCAAGCCTGACAAAAAAGAAGAAAATACAAAATTATCACACTTCCTGACTTAATTAAATCACATATACACGAACAGTTAATTTATGACAAAGGTGTCAAGAGCAAAAAATAGACAAATGAAGTCTCTTCAACAAATGGTGCAGCAAAAACTGAAAAGCCACAAGCAAAGGAATGAAACTAAATCATTTACGCCATATATAAAAACAAATTCAAAATGGAGTACAAGCTTGGATTTAAGACCTGAAGCCAATGCAGATAAAACACAGGCAACAAATTACTTGACATCAGCCTTAACAATGTCTTTGTGGAAATGATTCCAACAGAATAGGAACCAATAGCAAAAATAAATATATGGGATTATATAAAACTGAAAAGCTTCTCTACAGGGAAACTATCATCAAAACTAAAAGACTTCCTATACAATGTGAGAAGATGTTTGCACATCATACATCCAGTAAAGGGATAAGAGCCACAACATAAACTAATACAACTCACCAAAAAAAATAAACCACACAACCAAAAATAAGCAGAGGATCTGAACAGACACTTCCCCAAATAAGATGCACTGATGGCAAACAGGCACATGAAAAAAAAATTTAACTTCACTTATTATTATTTTTTTTATTTTACAATAGTTTACTTTTACATCATTTTGTACATTTTTTTCCCACTCAATTGTAATCCCTGTGGGTTTCCCATCACCAAGTCACCCGTGTGCCATCACCATAATCCCGTGTACTTCCTTCCCCACCCCCCCGTTTTTGATCCCATTTCCCACTCCACCCCCACAAAATGTCTCTGGTATATGGTTGTTCATTATTTTTGTTATTTTCTCGCCTGGTCCATTATACTCCTGCTATGAGTGAAACCATCTGGTATTTTTCTTTCTCTTTCTGGCTTATCTCACTAAGCATGATCTTTTCCAGCTCCATCCAAGTTGCTGCAAAAGACATGTGTTTCTCTTTTTTGGTTGCTGAGTAATATTCCATTGTATATATGTACCACATCTTTTTTATCCAGTCATCTACTTTTGGGCATTTGGGCTGCTTCCATGTTTTTCCAACTGTAAATAAAGCAGCAATAAACATGGGGGTGCAGCTATCTTTTTCAATCAGTGTTTTTGTGTCTTTTGGGTAGATATCTAGGAGTGGGATGGCTGGGTCGTAGGAAAGCTCCATGTTTAGCAGTTTGAGGAACCTCCAAACAGTTTTCTATAGTGGTTGTACTATGCATTCCCACCAGCAGTGCAGGAGAGTTCCTTTTTCTCCACATCCTCGCCAACATTTGTTGTTGCTAGTTGTTTGAAGATGTGCCATTCTCACTGGGGTGAGGTGGTATCTCATTGTGGTTTTAATTTGCATCTCCCTTATTACGAGTGATGTTGATAACTTCACTTATTATTAAAGAAATACAAATCAAGACCTCAATGACATTACTTTATACCTGTGAGAAATAGTCTCTATTCAAGAGGCTAGAAATAACAAATATTTGTCTGGATATTGAGAAAACGGAACCCTGGCATGTTGTTGTTGGGAATGTAAATTGGTGCAGCCACTATGAAAAACAGCATGGAGGTTCTACAAAAAAAATTTAAAAAAGAAATACCATATGATTTAGCAATTCCACTTCTAGGTTCTTATCCGAGGAATATGAAAATACTCATTCAAAAAGATAAATGTATCCAATGTTCACAGCAGCAGTATTCACAATGAACAAGACAAAGAAACAAACTAAATGCCTATTGGTTAAAGTCTAAAGAAGATGTGACATATATACACAATGAAAACACTAGCCAGCTATTAAGGAAAAAAAAGACGAAATTTTGCCTTTTGCAACTACATGGACAGAACCAGAGATGACTATATTAAGCAGAGTTAGTCATAAAGAGTAAGACAAAGATATCAAGTAATTTCACTTATGTGTGGAGTATAATGAAATAAAGCAAATGAACAAACTAAATGCAAAATATAAACAACTCTTAGGCACTCACAGCAAAATTCACTGGAAACAGATTACCCATGATTAAACTCAAGGGAAAGTACTACTAAAAAGAATGCTTACGTACTTAAGCTAACTTTATAGAAATAATTACAATCAGTGTTATAAAACAGCCTTTGAAATGTGATGTATAGAGACATAAATATGTACTATCAACACTATAGCTGCACATATAGCAATGAAGTATTTGAAATGTGATTTGTCCAGATTGAGCTGTTCTATAAGTATAATATACACATTAATCTGAAAAATGCAAAATATTTCACTATTAACTTTTATATCAATTGCAAACTGAAATGCTATTATTTTGATTATACTATTATATTACAGCATTTTACTGATATAATTTTTAAACAAAGAAAAAATATATCTTTTCTTCTATTTGTTTTCTTTTTCTACTTCTTTCATAAGTTGATCTCAGAAGGTAGAATATGCAGGATACTTTGTCGAAATAATGTTAGCTCTAACACTAGGACAATAAAAAAATCCCAACTAATGCTAAATATATATTGCTTTGACTATATTGCTTTGATATGAATAAATATCAGACCAAGAATACAACTTGAAAAGTTCTAGTTACAGCTTTAGCAACTATACCATGTATCATTCTTAATGTGCAATAATTTTGGCAGAGATACCTTGAATAATTACTCTCTGAGGGATAGTTAAGTCATACAAAATAAACCAGAATTTAATTTCCTGAAAATATAATACTTACAGATAAAGTATGAAGAAGTTGCCCTGTAACAGAATTCCACACTTTCAAGAGGAAATTGTTCACAGCAGTAATAACTGTGGTGTCATAGCGATCCCAGGCCACCATAGTCACCTTAAGTTTAGTGACCTTGTCTTCTGCAGATGGCAAATGACTCCTAAACAATACAATTTGCAGTATTCACACAATGTAAATTTTTAACAAAGCTTTACAGAAATAATAACTTATGAGAAAAACCTTTCCAGTAACATGCAACATTTTAGATTGAAAAAAATTCTAACCTATGCTTTTCAGTATTCATGAACTAAATTATTAAAATTACCTCCATATATTTATTTCAGGGAGAAAAGAAGGTACAAAATTACCAAAATTTTGCAGTTACCCAGAACAAACAAAAATAGGCAAAAAAAAAATACCTTGAAAAATAAACTGTATGACTGTGATGTCTACCAGCAAATATGAAAAAAACACAATAGCTATATTCACTTAAGCATTAAAATTTTCTAAACTAACAGGTCTTGTAAAAGGACTGTAAGAAATTCAATAACTTTTGATTTATTTAAATATAGCATTATTAAGACTAAGACTACAAAGCGAATTCTAGATTGCCATTAATAGGAAAATAATTTCATTGCCATACCCTAAGAAACTGTAGAGTTCTTAAGAAGTAATTATATAGAAGTATTGTAAACTCATGGCAAATCAATTTAAGAAAAAAGAAGTATCTATCTGCCAATCAACAGAGAAGATGATGAAAGAAAATGTTGATTAAATGTTTATAATATTGAGGAGGAATGTTAACAATATGTAACATTTTAAAGGTATCATCAATAAATAAGAAACATTAACATATGATAACATTTAACATGACCAATATTCAAAGTTGAAAGTAGTATAGATATAAAAAATAAGCTATGGAAAACTAGGCATTAGTAGACCACAAAGATCAGCGGGTCACTAGACATCAGAATTTTGAATGAGTCAGCAATGTTGCTGTCATCCAGTCTGTCAATAAATAGCAAAAGGTAATTTATTTAGTGACCAAACATATATTCAAATTTCACATCTATCAATTAACTACAAACGATTTGCTAATGTAAAAGATATTTTATGTTCACTGTTAAGTATAATTTAATAACGTAAGAGATAATATACCTTACAAGAATAACCGAAATATCTAATGTCAATCTTACCCAGTCAATTTAGTAGCCATATCTAGCACTATACTCTTCCATTCTTGTTGCTGATACTGCCAAACTCTTGCTGTTCCATCTCTACTTCCACTAACAAATCTTAAACTGCAAAGAAACAATTAAATAGCCATGTTAATTTTCTCAAAAATTAGAGACAATTTTTTTGCAAAGCATGAAGTACTAAGTTCTTCATGAACTACAGGGGGAAATGAAAATGATACAATTTGGAAAACAGGTTGGCTGTTCCTCAAAACAATAGAAAGATGACATGATTCAACAATTCTACTCTCATGTACAGCCAAGAGAAATGGAAGTTCACACACAAAATGTGTAAATAAACACTGATAGCATGAAGCATAAGCCAAAAATTAGTAACGATTCAATTGTCCACTAACCAACGAAAGAATAAACAACTGTTATATATCCACACAATCAAATTTTCTTCAACAATAAAAATAAATGAATCACTGATTCAAATGTCACCATGAATGATATTTGAAGACATTATGCAAATGAAAGTCAGTCACGAAAGACTATATATTGTATGACTTTTCATTTATATAAAATTTGCAGAACAGACGAAACTACAAATATAAAACATAGATTGATGGCTTCCTGGAGCTTAGGGTAGGACTCTAAAATGATTGGGGATTGAGAGACAAAATGAATAGGATTTATTTTCAGAGTGATGACAATGTTGTGAAATTAATTGTGGTAAAGATTCACAATCTATTAACATACTAAAAATAGTAGATCCAAATCATGCACAATAGAGCAGTCTGAATTATATCTCTCCTAAACACAACTGAACAGAAAATAAAGCTAGAATAAAATTTGTTCAGGTTAATTGACAGAGATGAGGACTTTTTCAATGATGTGGAAAAGTCCTCATCTTTTGTGCTGATGTGGGTGGTTTGCTGTAGGACCAGAAAGGGAAGACACAAAGTGACTGTGGCTAGGGTAGGAAACAATCAATTCTGAATTATATGCTAAGGACCTATCACAGATGGTAGTGGATCTTTCCAGTGGGACTTTTAGAGAGGGGGTGATGCACACAGGCATATGTGTACAAGGGACTACACATTAAGTAACTAGGAGTTCAGTGGCAGAAAGCAAAACAAAGGGAGGCTCCTCCCTCATCCCAGCAGAATGACCTAACAGAGGTAACCTCAGCGCTGCTCAGAGGAGAATCTAGCATCAGATTCTAGTGGGTGGGAAAAGCCCATTCCTACTCTCTACAGAAAGATCCTAGTGAGGGATCCATTGCTCCTTACAGTCCACACCCTTTGCCCAGTAGCAGTCATCATTGGGCAACCTAAGTCCCACAGACAGCATCTGGTGCACCTGCCCAGCAGTGAAAGACAGCTTGTGTCCAGCCTCTTGTGGCTACAGATCAAGCCTACTGTCCCTTGCCCAATGACTTTTCCTTAGTGAAATGAACCCCATACCACAGAGGTGAGCTAAAGTGAGGTGAGGCAGGGAGTAAAGAGCCCTGAAGATCTGAACAGAGCTCACTTTGGAGAACACACCAGGCAAGAGTTGATCTGTCTGTCTACAGCAGTGCTTACTCCTAAACAGAATGAGACTGAGTAGCTGGATCCCAGCTTTTCCTCTTTTCCACACCAAGACAAACCAAGAAGAAAAACAAACAAAAGTAAATCCAACTACAAAATAGCAAAGACGGCAAAACATATACCTAGGAAGCAAGAAATATCTGAACATAAGTTGGAAAATTATAAAGAGAATTAACAGTACAGAGACATATATAAATTTACATAAAGGATACAGAAACAGATGACCTAACAGACAGATATTTTAGTATAACAATTTGTAAGACACTAAATGAAGTAATGGAAAGAGCCCAGCATAGAAAGGCAGGGGCAGGATTTTAGAAAGGAGGTCCGGGATCAAGAAGTTTTTTTTTTTTTTCAATAAAGAGACAGAAGATAAAAGTGTACATGTGTGCACGTGTACACACACACATAAAAACACACCACACATTGAATGAAATGAGGATACATATGGAAATACATTAAGCTGGTAGAAGAGAATTACATAAAATGAAGATACAAATGTGCAAATGATACATGTGGCAGGAAAGACATAAACGTGGGAAAAATGAAGAAAATATGAGATGTATCAGACTCCACTAGAAGAGGAAACAAGGATAATGGCATTCTAGAAGGATAAGAGAGTGGAAGATAGGAACAGAGGCCCTGCTCAAAGATAGATACAGCAAAGAAGCCTCATCTATCATCACAATATATATAAAATGTCTGAACTCCACACTTAAAAGACACAGAATGAAAAACTGGGTTAAAAAGTATGAGCCATCTATACTGCATAGAACAGACCTAAAGACAAACACTGACTAAGTGAGATGCTAGAACAAGATATTTTAACCCATTAACACAAAGGAAAAAGAACTGCTATTCTCATAGCTGGTAAAGTACAGACATTCAGTCAAAATATATATGATATAACTCCCATTAACATTTATGTACCTAAAAAAGGGAAACCTAGTTATAAAAAACAAATATTAAAAGATGTAAAGAAGAGGAGCCCTCCTTGGTGGCACAATGGGATAAAACACAGCACTATAAAGCTATCTTCAGCCACCGCAGCACGTTTGATCCTGGACCAGGGAGCTGACCCACATGGCACAGCAGACCTCTCCTGACCTAAAGTTGCTCCCCTCAACACTGTATTTCAGTCAATATGGCTGTTCTGCTCCATGCTCTGTCTCTGGTGAATCCTCTCACCCCATATCTCTTGGCCTATACCCCAGTTCTTGCATGCATAAATAAATATTTTAAAAACTGCTTCAAAAAATAGATGTAAAGCAACACATTGATAAAAAGTTAATACTTGAGGAAGTCAAAAGAAAACTCATACAAGGGAATAGAACACCCAAGCAGAAAGTAAAAAAGAAAATAAAGGCCTTAAATAAAATACTGGGTTAGACTGATTAACAGACATTTGAAGAGTTTTCTATCCCAAAAGACATAAACACACAGTCTTCTCAAGTGTACACAGAACTTTCTCAAGGATAAATTACACACAACATCTCTCAAAATATGTAAAAATAGAAATTACATCAAGTATTATCTCCGATCACAATAGAATAGCAAGAAATTAGCCAAAAAAAGAATTTGGAATAAAACAAAACATGTAGCGATTAAATAAACCACTTTAGAATAACTATCAGGATGCTAAAGAATATGGACAAACTGCCAGATTCTATGGCACGCTTTAGAAGTGGTATTATGAAGGGTGGACATAGCAATACAAGCCCAAATAAGTAAATAAGTAAAATCTCAAATAGCAATTTAACTTTACAAAGCAAAAACAAATGAAAGAATAACAAACTAAATAAAACAATACTAGAAAAACAGACATAATATTAGAATGGAAATAAATAAAATTGAAAACAAAAAGTTCAAAACATCATTGAAACCAAGAGCTCTTTCCATAAAAAGATAATCAAAACTGAACAATGCTTACATAAATAAGCTCAGTAAGAAGAGGGTAAACCCTAATAAAAAAGAATCAGAAATGAAAGAAGTGAAAACTACAACCAATGATACAGAAATACAAGGGTTCATAAGAACCTACTGTGAACATATTTACACAAACTGAACAATCTACAAGAAATAGACTAATTTTTAGACTCATACAACATTCAAGACAACCAGATGAAATAGATTAAATAGACAAACCACAAATGCAAAAACTGAAATACTAATTAACTCTCATTAAGAACAAAAGCCCAGGACAACAATTGACAAAACCTTCAAAAAGGACCTACGACATATCCTACTACACATCTTCTAGAAAACTGAAGTGGATGTAAAGCTCCCTAACACATCTGATGAGACGGATATTTCCCTGATGTCAAAATCAAACAAAGACAGCACACACACACACAAAAAAACCCACAAAAACTGTATGCTGATATATTTCTAATGAAATATATTTCTAATGAAAAATTCTCAACAAAGTCTTAGTAAATCAAATCAGCAATACATAAGACAATCATCCATCATGATCAAGATGGTTTCATTCCAGAGACTAATGACTATTGCAACATGTGGAGGTCAATCAATGTCACTATCAGATAAAACTGAAGATAAGATAAACATCACATTGTCATTTCAAGACACAAAAAAGCATTTAACAAAATACAACAAAAACCTATTTATGATGAGAACTGTCAATAAAATGGGAATAAATGAATTTACTTCAACATAATAAAGGCCATGTATGACAAATATATTCAAAAGTGAAAGACTGAACTAATTTCTTAAGATCAGTTAATAAGTCAAGGAATACCACTTTTATCACTACCGTTCAATAAAGTATTAGAAGCCCTAGCCAGAATAATGAAGCAAGACAGACACTAAGGAATCCAAATTTAAAAAGTAAAACTATCACTATTCACAGATAACATGATTATACTGATTTAAGAGACTCAACCAAAAAACTACTAAAATTAATAATATACAATAATGCAGCAGAGTACAAAATCAATACACAAAAGTCAGCTGTATTTCTATATGCATACAATGAATTAAAAGAGAAATGTAAACCATACAAGTTACAATCACACTAAAATGCAAGAAATACCTTGGAGTAAGCTTAACAAAGAAGGGGAAGAACCTATACAATGAAGGAAATTAAACAGGAAAAAATGCTCATGTTCATGGACTGCAAGAATAAACATTGTTAAAATGGCCACATAATGTAAGGCAATTTACAGGTTCAAAGCAATCCCTATCAAAATACCAATAAGGATTTTTTTTAAAGATTTATTTATTTATACATACAGAACTAGGGTACAGGCCAGAGATGCAGGGTGGTGAGAGGCTTCACCAGAGACAGAGTGGGGAGCAGAACAGGCAGATCCACGAAGTACACCGCTGAGGGGAGCAGCGGGCTGGCCAGGAGAGGTCTGCTGCACCATGTGGTCACCTCTGGGGCAGGTGGGAATTGAACTCATGCTGCAATGGCTTTAGCTTCTTAGTGCTGTGCTTTAACCCGCTGTGCCACCAGGGAGGGCCCCAATAAGGATTTTTTAAGCAAAAAAAACAAAGTCTTAAAAATGT